TTGTAGTTTTATATTGTTTAAGCACTACTTCTCATTTGTGGCTCATTAAATCGGGCGCACACACTGTACCGTCTGTGGACGTGTTGCTACAGAGTTTTATACGTAAAGCACCGCGTAATGTGTTATCAACTGATATTGTTAACAATGGCAATTAAACGGGCTAGAGTTGGATTTTCATGATTAGTCGGATTATTTGTCAGATTTACGGTAGTTCGGGCTAATTGTAAGTGAACGAGGATAAAGACCATTTAAACTGAGGTTTCTTAAATCTGAGAAGTTGTCCAGCTAAGCAAAAAAATTCTTGCTTTTTGATATGGGTCCATGGTATTGCACTTCTGTGGCAGATGGAATGCATCCGACTCATGTTTAAGATGTTCAATAAACATGTTATGTGCATATACGTATATTCCCCTTTTTCTTGAGACTGTCTGCTCATGCAAAATTAAATGTGATTAATATAGATTAAAAATGAATGATATTTCATCGTGATTAATTGGAATTAATCCACAGCAACCCTGTGATTAATCTGATTAAAAATTTTAATCGTTTGACAGCACTACTTTTTAAGTAACGGAGTAATCTAACGGCGTTACATTTTAGAAGGCAGTAATCAGATTATAGTTACTACCCGACTAACGCGTCGTTACTATTGTGTTGCATTGAAGACATCAGATTAGCCAGTTTTATGCAAAAAGTATTATTGCGCTACGTAACGTCATCAATCCGAGATGCAGCCACACAAACACTGCAGCATGGAGAGACCACCGGAGGGAGAAAAGGGCGCTTTTTACTGGTGGAAATACAAACATTATTTTAAATTTGTTGAAACTAAGGGCAAAAACATAGTTGTACAGTGTGTCTTATGTGCGGGAGACAAAAGATTTTCAACCGCTAAGAGTTCGACTTCAAATCTATCTAAACATCTCAAAGGACAACACAGTGCTATTAGGCTAGTGGAGAAAGCGGGGTCAGTCCCCGACACAGACTCGGATTCATCTTTTCCTGCAACTAAACAGCTCAGGCTAGACTTTTCAAGTCAACTGGTGAGTGGGGAAAACTTGAAAAAACTTGTTGCTGCTTACATAGTCGAGGTAATGCTTCCCATATCCGCAGTGGACTCGCCGTCTTTTCGCGGTTTAATCGTCAAAATACCCACACGGAATAATGCACGGCTGCCTCAGAGAAAAACATTTTCTAACTATTTAGATAAGGAATATGCTACAATGGAGGCCAATCTGAGGGCCGCACTGCAGGCGGTAAACTTTGTGTTAGGGATGGCGAAAACTAAAAAATTTCTTGACCGACCAC